CTGTGTGGCAGGGCTGTCTCTGTAGAAGGAGGCATCACACCTGGGGAAGGGCATGAGTTGGACTGGACATGTCCAGGGTTTGATGTGAGGATCAGAGGACCTCAGAATGCGCAGGTGCAGAACACAGCAGATCTAGGTTCCATAGGTCAACACAAGGACTGTGAGGCTGTGTAACAGGGTGGATAGGGAACGAAGAAGACGGGGGACCATGAGCGGCAACAAGAGACTACTGGTGGGGGGGGCTGTCTCCACAAACAAAACCTTGAAAATTTGGTCATGAAGGTTTGTGCCTGCAAGCCTAGTGCTCGGGAAAAATAAATAACTAAATGTCATTTAAAATGAAAAACAAGGGGACATGACAGGCTTGGGTGTGACTCAGAGGGTAGAGTGCTTGCCGAGCATGCAGGGAGCCCTGGGTCCCATCCCCAGCAGCCCATAAAATGTGTGATGGCACACCCCTGTGTTCTCAGAACTCAAGAGGTAGAGGCAGGAGGATCAGAAGTTTGAGGTCATCCTCGGCTACATAAGGAGTTTGAGGATAGCCTGGGCTACATGAGGCCCTTCCTGTCTTAAATAAATAAATAAATAAAAATTAAAATCCCACTCTTGTCCTCTGTGTGTCCAGGTGCTTGGCTTCCAATTAGGCGTATCCCTGAGCGGGATGACAGAGTGGACATTGTATCCCTTTGGCTCCTTCTTGGGGTTCAGGGGTTCCTGCTGGCCCTAGTCCACTCACACCCCTGTTCTCTGTAAACGCTCTCAATTGCTCTTACGGATGATCGACCATCTGTTTCCTGCCCTGGCTGCTCATTCAGGGCGTGGATTGAGGCCTAACAGACTGAAGGCATCAAATCAGTTTATTCGGCCTTGGCCTTTTTTCCCTTCTGGTTTTTTGTTTTTGTTGTTGCTGCTGCTGTTGTTTTGTTTTGCTTTCACTGGTTTGTTTTTAAGACAGGGTCTCCTGTAGCCCAGGCTGGCCTCAAATTACAGGCTCGAACCTGTACTGTTACATCAGGGTTGCACAGTGCTGGCAATGGAACCCGGGACTCCACGTGTGGCAGACGAGCACTCTGCCAACTGAGGCACATCCTTAGTGTCCCCTCCCCTTGCCCTTTCAGAGACAGGATCTTCTGTAAGCCCAGTTGGTCTTGAACCCCCAATATAGCTCAAGCTGGCCTTGAACTTTTGACCTTCCCACTGCTACCTCCCATTCCTAGGGTTACAGGTGTGTGTTGCCATGACCGGTTTGAACCTTGGTGTTTTACCTGGGTGGAGGGGTGAGGTTTAGACTGATCACCCAGAGGGAAAAGACTTTGGGGGAGCTGAGGGGGTGGACCAGATTGAGGTACACAGAGAAACCCTGTCTCAAGAAACAACAGCAACAAAATGGAGTGTGGTGGTGCACACCTTTAATCCCAGTGTTTGAGAGGCTGAGGCAGGTTAGAGGCCAGCCAGGGCTATAGTGAGAGTCTGTCTAAAAAAAAAAAGAAAGAAAGAAAGAAGGGAGGGAAGGAAGGAGAGAGGGATGAAGGAAGGAAGGAAGGAAGGAAGGAAGGAAAGAAAGAAAGAAAGAAAGAAAGAAAGGGTCAAATAAGAAGGGGCAGTAGAGACGGCTCAGTGGTTAAGACTGCTTGTTACTCTGGCAGAGGACCCAGGCCTGATACCTAGAACCCACATACGTGGTGGCTTACAACCATCTATAACTCCAGTTCCAGGGGCTCTCATGTCCTTTTCTCAGGGCTGAAGGTCTCAGACATACACATACATACATACACAATACATAATACACATACACACATACACACATGCATACATACACACATACATATATACATGCACAAACATACACATACACACATACATACATATATACATACACATACATATATACATACACATACACACATACATACATATATACATACACACATACATACATACATATTAAATAAATAAGTAAAATGCTGGGTGGCATGATAGGGCATGGACGTGATCCTACATCTTGGGAGGTGAACACAGAATTAGTTCAAGGTTATCTTTAGCTAATGACTTGGAGATGAACTGGGGCTACAGGAGATTCCGTCTCAAAAACACAAAAAGGCTTTTGGGAGCCGGGGGTGGGAATCCTGCTTGTTCTCTAAGCCTTCCTGTCTCTCCCAGCAGAATTATTACGTGGTCATTTGAGAGTTTCCTCCGTAGAGGAGCCTTATCTATCTGTTCAGGACCATAAACCACTTAGGGCCATTTGCAGGGATGGGGACCCAGCCAGCCATACTTTGCCTGACTTCCTGCCTTCCAGGGTGAGGCCTTACATGTGGCACCAGCAACCACGCACCCTGCCTCAGGTCATGTTGTCCCTAAACTGCCTGCCCGGCAGAAACACTCCACTGCTTTTGTCTGGGCACCCTGCCCTTGCCCACCTGGCACAGGTGTTCTGCTCTTTCACCAAAGCCACACGGCTCCAGGAAGACTCCAGTGTGGGTCTTTCCAACGGCTGAGTGCTCTGTCCCCTGCATCCCCACCCTTGGCAACCAGGGAGATCGTGAGGGCAGAGCCTTGCTGGACATCTGAGGTGCGGAGCAGGGTTGATGATAACACATCCTGTTTTGCTCTGGGCAGAGTTGATACTAGTTTTGGGAACCAGAGCCTTGTGTGTGTGTGTGTGTGTGTGTGTGTGTGTGTGTGTGTGTGTGTGTGTATCCTGCCCCCAAGGTCCCAGCCCTGTCTGGTCTTCGCTCTCTGGAAGTGTGGGTTGTGTAACGGTGCTAAGCTGCTCTTCTTCTTCTTCTTCTTCTTCTTCTTCTTCTTCTTCTTCTCCTCCTCCTCCTCCTCCTCCTCCTCCTCCTCCTCCTCCTCTTCTTCTTCTTCCTCTTCCTCCTCCCTCTTTCCCTCTTCTCCTCCCCCTTCTTCTTTTCTTTTTCTAGATTTTTATTGTGTTAGTTTTTTTTTTAACAAAACAAAACAACAAAACAGGGTCTTTCTACATAGCCCTGCCTGTTCTAGAACTCACCAGGTAGACCAAGCTGTCCTCGAACTCACAGAGATCTCCTGCCTCGGCAAGAACAGCTCTTGACTATTGAGTTACTCTCCAGCCAACAGAGTCTCACTATGTACCCCGGCTGCCCAGAACTTGGCTGTAGACCAGGCTGGTCTTGAACTCACAAATATCCACCTGCCTCTGCCTCCCAAGTTACCTGAGTCTTAATATCTTACTTTGAGAGCTGTTCCCAGAGGAGTTAAGACAAGGGGACAGGAAGGCTGCTCAGGTGACGTTTTAGTGTTCCATTGCTGTAAATAGACCCTATGACTATGGCAACTCTTTTTGGTTTTGTTTTGTTTTTCATGACAGGGTTTCTCTGTGTAACAATCCTAGTTGGAATCAGCTCTTGTAGTTGAGGCTGGCCTCGAACTCACAGAGAAATGACTATGGCAACTCTTTTTTGTTTTTGTTTGTTTGTTTTTGTTTTTTTTCATGACAGGGTTTCTCTGTAGCTTTGGAGCCTGTCCTGGAACTGGAACTAGCTCTTGTAGACCAGGCTGGCCTTGAACTCACAAAGATCCACCTGCCTCTGCCTCCCCAGTGCTGGGAATAAAGGCGTGTGCCACCACCACCCAGCCTATAATCATGGCAACTCTTATAAAGGAAAACATTTAATTGGGGCTGGTTTACAGTTCAGAGGTCTAGTCCGTTGTCATCAGGGTGGGACATGGCGGCTCGCAGGTAGACATGGTGCTGGAGAGGAAACTGAGAGTTCTACGTCTGGATCAGCAGGCAGCAGGAAGAGAGAGTGAGACACTGGGCCTGGCTTGAGCTTCTGAAACCTCAAAGCCCACCCACTAGTGACACACTTCCTCCAACAAGGCCACACCTCCAATAATGCCACTCCCTATGCGTCAACAGGAGCCATTTTCTTCATGTGTTGTAATACTGGCACACAAGACATCAACGCAGGGAGATCATGAGTTGCAGGCCGGCGTGGGTTATATAGTGAGACCCTGTCTCAAAGCAAGTGAGCATGATAGGGTACACGTCTGGAACCCCAGGACTTCAAGAGACAGGTGCAGGAGAATCAAAGAGAGCTCAAGGCCCCGGCCGCACAAAGAGACCTTGTCTCTTGCAGCTCAGGAAATGACTCGGTAGGTGCCTCTCAAGCACCTGAGTCTGATGCCCTGCACCTGTGTAAAAAGCCAGGCACAGCAGCCTGTGTTTGTGACCCCACTGCTGGAGAGACAGGGAGGGACCCCTGGGGCTCAGTGGCCAGGTAGCTGAAAGGGCCTGGTGAACTCCAGGTTCACCGACAGATCCTGTCTCAAAAGAACAAGGCAGGGGCTGGAGAGTTGGCTCAGCTGTTCTTTGTTTGTTTGTTTGTTTGTTTGTTTGTTTGAGACAGGGTTTCTCTGTGTATCTTTAGATCTTCGGCTGTCCTGAAACTCATTCTGTAGATCAGGCTGGCCTCGAACTCACAGAGCTCCACCTGCCTCTGCCTCCCATGTTCTGAGATTAAGAGTGTGTGCCACTATGCCCGGCAAGCACCCGCTGTTCTTGCAGAGGACCCAAGTTCAGTCCCTGGTACTCACAGTGGCTAACAACTATAGCAAGACTCCAGTTCCAGGGACTCTGATGCGCTCTTCTGGCTTCCTTGGGCACCAGGCACGCATGTGGTGTGTACATGTACATTCAGACAAAACACTCATACATATATAATAAAATAAGGTGGAGAGAGAGAGAGAGAGAGCGCAAGCTGTGGGTTCCATGTGCACACATACACACGCACACGTGTGTGCATGCACACAGAAAGAGAAGAATGGCTGGGGTGGGGAAGACAAACCCAGGCACACGTGAGACAAACACAAAAGTATTAGGGAAATTTATTTCTGATAAGGACTGGCTAGTCCAAGCTTTGGATTGAAAGCATTTCCCACTAGAGTGCCAGAAGATTCCAAGCAGGCCCCAGTCCAGGTTCAGCCGCTTGGCCCCTGGAGAAAGCCCTTGGAATCTCTCAGGAATTCTGCTCGGCCCGAAGGTTGTCCATGTGGTGGGTGTGATATTGTCTCATGCGAACTTGCTGCTCCGGGCTGGATACAGGAGTGTTCCAGCAGCTTCGGGAGATCGGGCAAGAGAAAGTGAGAGAGAAGGGTCAATGACGGCCTTAATTCTGCTTCCACTTTGATGTGGGTTCCAGGGAGTTTAGAAGACCAGAGCTCTCTTCCATGAAAGTGGCCCTGCTCACCCAGTTTCTCGCTCCCTTGAGCAGTGTCTAATGCTCTAAAGACCAGGGTGGGGTTTAGGTAAGACCCTCTAAAGTTGCTATTGTTAGTTAGGGGCGGGGCTGTGTGTGTCAAAGAACACACGTGACCCAGTGAGCCTGCTCAGTGGGTGAAGGTCCTTGCTACCAAGCCTGAGAGTTTGATCCCTGGGTCCCACGTGGTTGAAGGAGAGAAATGACTCCAAAAAGTTGTCCCCGGACTTCTACATGTGTGTGGTGGTGCACACGTGCTACACACAAAATAAATAAATCAAGAGTAACATAAAAAACAACTTTACAATCGGCCCCGCCTCTCTGTCATTTTGTGCATTTTATGTTTGTTTATTTTGTTTTTGTAGTCCTTGCTGGTCTGGAACTTGCTATAGACCAGGATGGCCTTGAATCCATAGAGATCTACCTGACACTATCTCCCAAGTGCTGGGACTAGCAGCCTGTGACACCATATCAGGCTCTCTCTGTCCCTATGAAAGTAACTGTACTGGCAGGAAAGAAGATATTTTTTTTCTTTCTTTTTTCTTTTCTTTTTTTTTTTAAGACAGGGTCTCATTAGCCCAGGCTGGCCCTCAGCTCCTAACTGAGGCTGGCCTTGAACTCCTGATCCTCTTGCCTCCACCTCCTGGGTGCTGGAATTACAGAGGAGCACCACCATGTAGTCTGTTTTCAGTAGTGCTGGGGAAACCTTTGTGCATGCGAGGGCAAGCACTCTAGCAGCTGAGCCGCACCCCTAGCCTGGGAATAAACACTTATGTCCCTTCCTTTGGCTATCAGACCACAAAACAATGGGTCCCAAGAAATTCCACAGGAATCCCATGCAGAGGGCTGAAGCTGGTGCCAGCCAGAGGGAGACTGGCAGAAGACAATGGGGATGGGCAGTGATGGCGGGGACCATACCGTCACCAGGATTGCTCAGCTATGCCTGGCTTACCCTCTATTTAAACCTAAACCTTACATCAAGATCTTGTCCAGATCCCAAAGATCAACTTAGCGAGACATTGGGTCTCTTTGTTACTCTTTCCCACATAGGGACATTGAATACATACATCTCCTTTCTCTGCCTTGGATTACTTCTGATTTATTTTATTCTATCACTTTGAAGTGTGTGTGTGTGTGTGTGTGTGTGTGTGTGTGTGTGTGTGCCAGAGCACTGGATCCCTCTGGAGCTGGAGTTGCAGGTGTTTGTGAGCCGTAGGCCTGGATGCTGGGAACTGAACTCAGGTTCTCTAAGCATAGTCCACACTCCTAACCACTGAGCCATCTTTCCCGCCCTCTTTCTCATTATGATTTAATTGCCCACCCAGGATGGCTGACGGAACCCAGCTTGTTAGGGGCTGCCAGCCCCTAGGCTTTGGCCCTAATAAGTCCAGTAATACCTTCTTAGTGCCTGGCCCCACCCTAAATCCACGGATCCTCTAAACCAGAGGTTCTCAACCTTCCTAACGCTGTGACCCTTTAATACATACAGTTCCTCGTGTTGTAGTGACCCCCCCGACCATAAAATTATTTTTGTTATTCCTTCATAACTGTAATTTTGCCACTGTTATGAACCACAATGAAAGCATCTGCTATTCAGGATATCTAATATGTGACCCTTGTTAAAGGGTCGTTCATCGGCAAAGGGGTCATGAGCTCTTTCTTGATTACACTCCACTGTTGGTTCCCGTGGGCCTGTGAGACAGAGTTTGGATCCTCTGCAGGACACCCCGATTCCCTGCTCATACCTGCTGGCAAACTGTCTCCAGGAGCAATGGCCCTGGCCCACACACTTCCCGGAAACCTCTGCTTCCCCTACACAGAGATGCCTTTCCAGGTCCCTCCGGGCGTTGAATGTCTTTTCTTCTGGGAACTTTTGTGCTGGCCCCCAATACTTCAGCTCTCTGGCTGAGATGTCAAAGCCAAGGTTTTTAGTGGGCTGAGCCTGACCGCAATTCACCTTTCCACCTGCAGGGTTTCACTTTTGGAGTGTTTTCTGACTACTCGCTTGCAACTCCGAAAACTGCCGCCAGGGGGCAAGCGGCGACCACGGAGAAAACCAGGCCTTTGATGGCGACAAGGGAGAGGAGCTATAAGGTAAATTCTCCTTAATCTTCAGGGGGAAGAACTTCATCAGACAACAGCAAGAAGAAACCAAGACTACTGTTGGGAGGCGTACAGCACCAACCCTGTTCACTCACCTAGCGGATATGAGCAGGGCGAGGAAGACCGCCAGCAAGATTGAAGAGAAGACGATGATGATCACAGTACTCTTGCTTCGGGACCCTGGGGCTCCTGGGAATGTCTGGGCTTCACAGATAAGCAGTAAAATAGTTATTTACCCTCACAAAAGAGTCATTTAGTCAGCTTCCAGACCCACTCTCCCGTGTCCACTGGGGAGGTGTGAGAATCCCATAGACTAGAGGAGGGAGTACGGGCAGAGACTGGATAGGATAGCGCTGCGCTCCCTGATTTGGGGAGACCCACTGTCCCCAGGTCCCTGATGTCCCCGGGTCTGTTAGCACCCCGTATACATTTTGAGCCACTCTTAGGTCCGCATACCTTGCTGCAGGTAGATTTCCTCAGACCACTCCGTCTCAGCCACAGGACCCTTGGCGCTCATTGCCAGGAACTTCACTCTGAACAGGAGACCAGCATTGGTGGTGGGGACCCACCACCCCGCGGTTCTGAAACCCTCAGATCTTAATGCCAGGGATCCCAGCCCAAGGCAGGAGTCGGGTCCTGGGACTAAAGAGCACAGCCCCAGAACCCCACAGAAGCTGTGACCTATTCGAGTTGTGTGACATTGGCAGTGGCCCTCACTGTGTGTGTGGATTAGATCTCTCTGTACCAAATATGAGTAAATCAAGCATCTAGTGAGAGGAGAAAGGGACCAAGGCTAGTCCCCACCTAGGAATGCCTGGTCTGGATCAGGGTCAATCCATACGCTCTGTCAGGACCTCCCACGGCGTGAGACGATGAGTTAGAAGGATGCTATTTAAAGATGTGACCGTAGTAAGGGGACACATTGCACCCATGTCAGGTAGTTCAACTGCCTGTAACTCTCGTTCCAGGGGATCAGACACGTGTGGCTTCTGAGGGAACCCACACCCATGTAAACAAAACCACATGCACATAATTAAAAACAAAATAATTTTTTCTTTTAAGAAAGAAAGAAGGCTCAGTGTTTAAGAGCACTTGTTGCAAAGGATCCAGGTTCAATTCCCAGCATCCACATGGAGGCTCAACATCTCCTTGGGCACCAGGCACATACGTGGTACACGGACATACATGTAGACAAAACAGCCATACACAGAAAATAATAAAAAATAACTCTAAAAGGGAACTAGGTAAGGACCTGCCTGCAATCCCCCAGTGAGAGGGTGGGGTGTGCTAGAGAACCCGTTCAGCTTGCTCCATGCCCAGGTTCCACCCCCAGCACCACTAACATAAATAAGAAAAGAAGGGAGGGAGGGAGGAAGGGAAAATACTGGGGAATTCAGGCACTCTATTTGACTTCAATGAACCTTCTGGTAGCTGCCCTGGGTTCCTGTTTGTCCCAAGCAAGGCCCCTCCCCCATCTTTGCTGCTCACCTGTAGGGGCCAGCACCTGGCAGAGGAGAGTTACAGCCCAGGGACTTCAAGGAACACTTGGTATCATTGCCAACACGGAGGATTCGGAGCTGGTTGCCAGACTGGCCGCCCTGGTAGTGTACCCGGCTGGTCCTTAGTGTGAGGTAGTAGCCGTTGTGGTCAAAGCTGGCAGGGGCATGTATGTCCTCTACCTTCTGCGGGGCAGCAAAGTACTGGGTGGCTGAGGGAGGCACTGACGGTCAGTCAAAGGAAATCACGTGGGCAGGACCAGCAAGGTCCACGCTAGCAGGCTCTGACAGCCTTTCCCAGACACAACCCCCAAGCACCTCCCTCCCAGCTCCCCCAGCCTACTAAGCCTCTCAGACCCCAGCTCCGTTTGCCCATTTCACAGCAAGAAAGCAAACACATACCATTGCTATGAGCCACCACCAGCCAGATGGGGTCTGGGTCAGAAAGGCTGACATTCTCAAACTGGCCCAGGGGCTGCTCCAGCGTGAAGGTGGACTGTGTGAGCTTTCCCAACAGGGCGGCGCTGGAGAGCTGGGGGGCATAGCCAATGCTCTCTGGGCAGAGTGGGGAAATAATAAATCAGTCCAGCTTCAACCAAGGCAGGATGTATCCATCACCAAACCCACATTACAAAGGGAATTAAGGAACCATTTCTTATATATAATTTATTTGACTTTATTTTATTTGTGTTGGTATGAAGGTGTCAGAGCCCCTGAAGCCAGAGTCACAGACAGTTGTGAGCTGCCATGTGGGTGCTGGGAATTAAACCTGGGTCCCCTGGAAGAGCAGCCAGTTCTCTTAACCTCTGAGCCATCTCTCCAGCCTGTTAAGGAACAATTTCTTCCACCACACTTTAATTGATTGATTAATTAATTAATTGGTTAATTAGTTCTCTGTCTCACTCTGTGTGTGTGTGTGTGTGTGTGTGTGTGTGTGTGTGTGTACACAAACCCATGTGTGCCTCAGGTCAAGGACAATTTTGGGGAGTTGGTTCTCCACCATGTGGGTCCTGAGGATCAAATGCTAATTATCAGGGCTAACAAATGTCTTTACCACCTGAGCCATTTTACCTGATCCAAAATTAAGGAATCTTTATGGCAGGTGCCCTTGGGGGGCTGTGGAGCACTTGGACCCCCCTCTCTTGGCATCCTACTGGAAAGTAGGTAGGTAGGTAGGTAGGTAGGTAGGTAGGTAGGTGCTGTGTCACTGGAGTGATGGGTAAGGAATGGCGAGGGACAGAGGGAGGCTCAGGAGACTCAGATTCGGGGCATCCAAAACCCTAGGCTGGGCTTGTCCAGAGACTCTGTGTGTCCCTCCCGCTCAAGCCTTGTAGTCCAGGCTCGTTTGTTTGATGAGAATGAACAAGAACTAGAGAGATTTGATTCCATACGTAGTAAAGCGCCTACCTCCCAAACATGAGTTTAGATTACCGGAACCCATGTCAAAAGCGAGGCATGGTGAGAGGCCCTGTATGGGAGGCAGGGACCAGCTGATACCTCAAACTGATGGAAAGACTGACCTGGCCCACATGGCAAAGTTCTGGCCTATGAGAGACCCTGTCTCAAAGAGAAGGTGGAAAGACCCTGAATACCAGCATCCATGGTCTCCTGCTGACCTGTACACACCCCATAGAGCCACATACCTGTAACCTCATGTGCATATGTGCACAGAGAGAGAGAGACAGAGAAGATCCTCATAGAAAGGACAGAGGGGGAGGCACACAAATGTCCCCTGGACTGAGACCCTGACTTGGGACACAGACTACCTAGTGGGACCTGAGGCTAGCTCACCCAAAGACATTACTTCAGACCATCTAGTGGGACCTGAGGCTAGCTCATCCAAAGACATTACTTCAGACTACCTAGTGGGACCTGAGGCTAGTTCAATCAAAGACATTACTTCAGACCACCTAGTGGGACCTGGGGCTAGCTCATCCAAAGACATTACTTCAGACTACCTAGTGGGACCTGAGGCTAGCTCATCCAAAGACATTACTTCAGACCATCTAGTGGGACCTGAGGCTAGCTCACCCAAAGACATTACTTCAGACCACCTAGTGGGACCTGAGGCTAGCTCATCCAAAGACATTACTTGCTCCCTTCTCAGTTCTTTGCCACCCCCCCATCATCTTCCATTCTCACCGTGGCCACATGACCAACATCATCATGGTCATATGACCAACATCTATCCTTTCAATCCTCATCTCTTAAATCCCCTTCTCAGATCCATCTAAACAGTTTCGTATGCTACAGGGACCCCCGGGGAGCACCACATCTTTGTCCAGCTCTGCTGCTCATGGGAGAAGCCCTGCCCTCCCCTCAGTCCTCCTTGATCCACCCCTGCCCACAACCAAATCCATAGCAGGATTCCAACGCCAAGCCCCTAACACTGGACAATAAAAAAGACAAAGTGGACCTTTGTACAAATCTCGTATCAATTCAGGGCTGCAGAGATGGCTCAGTGGGAAAGCGGTTGCCTTGCAAGCTTGGGGACCTGAGTTCTAATCCCCAGCATACACGTAAAAAGCCGAGTGCGGTGGCACACATCTGGAAGGCCAGCTGTGGTGGACACAGGTCCCTGGACACTGGCACCTGAAGTGATCCTCTGAGCTCCGCACTGATTGTGCACGGACACAGCCTTGTACACAATGTGTGTTTGACTGGAGGCAGGGTTTCTCTGTGTAGTCCTCTCTGTCCTAGAACTGAGATCCACCCAACCCGATGAGCTGAGTTCTGTGCCCAGTATCTATCAGCTGGCTCCTGAAAGTTTCCCTCTGACCTCCACACTTGCATCTTTACACGCATTCCTCAATCCCCATACACACACAGATACATAGACACGCACACACAGAGAGACACACACACAGACTAAACAAACAAATAATAACAAAGCCCCTGTTGTACCTTAGAGGACTAGGGTATCCTATATACAGTAGGTAGCTAATGTTTGCTTCATTTGAGGAAAGGGAAATAGAGCTATGGAGAGGAGGGGTTACTTAGGAGCCATTGGTAAAAGTGTGGGCATGAGAATCCAAAGGAGGAGAGAAGCAGAATTCTTGCTCTTCAGTCTGGCGGTCAAGAGACAGGCGGCCATCTGTGATTGTGTGAGGTGGGCTGAATGTTTTGACACACCCATGAGCCCAGTCCACAACCAAGGGAAGGGGTGCTGGGGTGCTGTAGGTATTCCATCCTACAGAGGGTTGAGTATGTGGGGGTACCCCGCACTCCCCAGCCTCACTCACCCAGACCTGCTCCACACTGGACCAGCAGCAACGGCGGCATCAGCAGCAGAGACCATCTCTCTTGGAGCCCCATGGCTGGGATGCTGTCTCTCCTCCCAGGTCCGCCTGCAGTATGGCCCCAGCTGCTCTGTCTGGGCTGGGCTGCTCTGGCTTGGAGGTGCCCCCTCCTCCGGTACAACTGGTTGGACCAGCTCAGGGACTGAGTCTGTAGGTTCTGGGGGATTCAGCCTCACTAGGCACGGGTCTGAAGAAAACAGAACAATGAAGGAGACAAGCCAGGACATCTGCACCCTACTTCAAGAGGGCCTGCGCTGGGAGGGGCCAGGGATGGAGCAGACAGTTCTGGGCAAGGGCTGTCCCCATAAAAACCCTGCTTACCTGTCCTGGGTCCTGGCCACTAGGAAGGGAGGGAGTCCCTTTATCTTCTAGACAAAGAACATAGAAGATAGGTGTCCCTTCAAGATAGGACCAAGATCACCTAAGCTGACGGATAAAATCTTGAGGTGGTCCAGCAAATGTTGACCCTAGGACTGACTGACTGACTCTCTCTCTCTCTCTGTGTCCCCCCTTCCCTCCCTCTTCCATCACGTTCAGGTAGTTTCTATGCTGGCGTCAAACTCAGTACATAGCCAAGGATGACCCTGAACTCCTGATCTTCCTTCGTGAGTGCTGAGATTACAGAAGAGTACAGGCCACCACAGCTAGCAAGCCACAGTGTGTACCCCCACGGATAATGCTGTTGTATCTCTATGTGTGTGTGAGATATGTATAAGAAAGATGATAGGAGATAGATAGATAGATAGATAGATAGATAGATAGGTTGAGATGTAGCTCAATGATAGAATTCTTTCCTGGCATGTATATGACTCTGGGTTCCTTCCCCAGCATCACAAGTATATGTATGTATGTGTGTGTGTATACATACATGCATACATACATACACACATACATATTCTCTCTCTCTCTCGGATGTTGAAAGCAGTCATCAGAAACAAGGTGGTGGCGCACGTCTTTAATCCCAGCACTCGGGAGGCAGAGGCAGGCGGATCTCTGTGAGTTCGAGACCAGCCTGGTCTACAAGAGCTAGTTCCAGGACAGGCTCCAAAACCACAGAGAAACCCTGTCTCGAAAAACCAAAAAAAAAAAAAAAAAGAAAGAAACAAGGATCCAGGTATAGTTAGTGCTTCACACCTATAATCCCAGCACTCAGGAGGTAGAAGCAGGAGGATCAGGAGTTCAAGGTCCTCCTCAGCTACACAGCCAGCCTGAGCTACAGCACACCCCGTCTAAAAAACAGCAAAACAGGGTAGAAAGGGCGTCCTTGCAAAAGCACATCCTTGCTCATCCTCTCTCAGGGCCCCAGAACTGGGCAGGGTCAGCCTCACACTTAATCACATCATACAGATGACAGGATGGCTCTCACAGGGAGGGCACCTCCTGCATCCTCATGGCAGGTCAACCGTGAGTCTAGGAAGCAGCCCTGCTCTCAGCACCCCAGCAGGCTGCCGCTCGCTCCGCTCCCCTACGTGTCTAATTCAGACAAATGATTCATGTATTCCTCCTCGTGTTCCCCTCGCCAGTCCAGGCATCCTCTCTAGGCAGCGCAGAGACCCTTGTGTCAGCGCCTGTGGCGCCAAACAAGCGAGCCCAGAACTGAAAACTTAAAGTAATAAACACTTCCTTTTTCTTTAGTTTTCAAAAGGTCTACAGTCTTTTTTTCTCCTTTTTTTTAAATTTTTTTATTTTTTATCTTTATTTTTATTTTTTTAAATATTTATTTATTTATTTATTTATTATGTATACAATATTCTATCTCTGTGTGTTTGCAGACCAGAAGAGGGCAGCAGATCTCGTTACAGATGGTTGTGAGCCACCATGTGGTTGCTGGGAATTGAACTCATGACCTTTGGAAGAACAGGCAATGCTCTTAACCACTGAGCCATCTCTCCAGCCCCAAAATTTGTATGAGTACTTGTTCTGCATATGCGAATGTGCACCACATGCATGCGTGGTGCCTGCAGGACCAGAAGAGGGCATTGGATCCTGTGTAAGTGGAGTCAAAGGTGTCATGTGGGTGCTGGGACCTATGTCCTCTGCACGAACAGCCAGTGCTCCTAACCACTGAGCTATCTCCTTACTCCTATTTTTTATTTTTTTTTTATTTTTATTTTTCGAGACAGGGTTTCTCCATAGTTTTTGGTTCCTGTCCTGGAACTAGTTCTTGTAGACCAGGCTGGCCTCGAACTCCCAGAGATCCGCCTGCCTCTGCCTCCCGAGTGCTGGGATTAAAGGCGTGCGCCACCACTGCCCAGCTTCTCCTTTCTTTTTTTAAGATTTATTTACCCATGTATTTTATTGATCTGAGCACTCTGTCTTCACACACACCAAACCTGATCCCGTTACAGATGGTTGTGAGCCACCATGTGGTTGCCGGGAATTGAACTCAGGACCTCTGGAAGAGCAGCCAGTGAGTGCCCTTAACCCCTGAGTCATCTCTCCAGCCCCACTTCTTTTTTTCTGATTTGTGCATCTATTAGTTATCTATCTTTGTATATGGGTATGCATAGCGTGTGTGTGTGTGTGTGTGAGCACACACGTGAGTGCTATGGCTCCTATGTGGAGGTCGGAGGATGACTTTCCAGTTCCACCTTGTTGAGGCAGGGTCTTTCTTGTGTCTGTGGCTGTGTTGTGTCGTACTCCAGGCTAGCTGGCCCGTGAATGTCTGGCTGATTCTCCTGTTTCCACCGCCCATTTCAGAATAGAAATTCTGGCATTCCAGATGTGTACCCCTGTACCTGGTCTTTAAAAAAGATATTCCCCCCCCCCTCTCTCTCTCTCTCTGTACATGCACACGTACCTGCTTATACACAGGTCCGAGGGCAACACTAAGGAGCCAGTTCTCTCCTCCCCCGGGCATGATGGGGCTGCTCAGTTCATGGCAGTGGAATATGTAGTAAGGATGTTCACACCCTGGTGAATCAGGAAACAGAGGGAGCGCAGGGTAACCTTCAGAGATCAACCCCTAGTGACCTATTTTTGCGACTAGACCCCACCACCTCTCCACTACATTCTGAAACAGTGCCACCAGCTGGGGACCAAGTACTCAAGGAGTGAGCCTCTGGGGACATTTCAGATTTAACGGAACATGGCAGCCGCCTCTGTTTCCATTAACTGAGGACAGGGGTTAACCTGCTCAGCTCCACCTGGTTTGTGCTGGGTTTATGATATGGCAAATAGATTTGTCCAAAAACTGATGATTTGGAAACTTCTTGGTGTGTCTGGCTGTGGCCTGGGATGGCCATTTTATTTTTACAGCATCAAGGGGATGGCCATAATGGCTTGGCTTCCTCCTTTCGGGGTCCTAGGAGTGTCCAGCACCAATGAGAACTGGCATGAAGGAGTGGGTCCCGGAGCCCCAGAGGGACCAAGGGGTGCCATACCAAGTCACAAGGAATACTCTACGCCTTTTGACTTTTCTTGCTGTGTACCTTTGGGGGTGACTCATAAGGCAGGTGGGGCTCCCCACTTGCTACCTCCTCATACAAGTCAAATAGAGTTCCAAAGACTCACCCAACTCCAAGTCACCAAAGACTCAGCTTCATAGCAACCATCACACCCACAGTCTGAGGAGGTACACAGGGAAACGGTACCTCCAAGAGTTGATCAGGCTTGCCTTATGCCCTCCGAAGAGAGAGGTCTCAGTCAGGGCTTGTTTGGGCCCAAAGAGAAAGCAGAGAGTACTCGGTGCCCCCCACCCAAGCCCTTATGCAGTGGGAAATGCTCCAGAGCTTCTCACAGACAGCTTGCCACACTCAAAGTCTTGTGCTGTGCCCACCACCATAAACTAGGAAGTGCTTCCTCATCAGGCTCAGCAGTGAGGCACCTCTGAGAATCCCCCAGTGAGGGGCTGGGGTGTGGCTCAGTGGTAGAGCCCCTGCCTAGAATCCCCCAGTGAGGGGCTGGGAGGTGGCTCAGTGGTACAGTGCTTACCTAACATGTGCAAGGCTCTGGGTTCCATCTCCAGTGTGGCAAATGTAATCAATAGCTTTTTTTTTTTTTTTAAAAAAAAAAAAAGCATCAAAACCAACCACAAATGTACCAGGCATGGTGGCACAAGTCTGCAATCTTTTCCAGGCTGAGACTGTCTTGCACTGCACAGGAAATTCCAGACTAGCCTGAGATGCTTAGCTCCACACCAGGAAGAGGGGCTGGGGGGATGGCTCAGCAGTTAAGAGCCCTTGTTGCTCTTCCAGAGGACCCAGGTTCAGTTCCCAGCATCCATGTGATGTTTCACAGGTGTATGTAAGTCCAGTGGATCCAACGCTCTCTCCTGACTGCAGGCACCAGGCATGCTGTGACAGACGGACACACATGCACGTAAAACACTCATGCAAACGAAAGAAACAAATCTTTTTTAGAAATTAAGTTCTTTCCTTAAAACTACAAAGAAAAACACAGTTCTCTTTTTTTGTTGTTGCTTTTTTAAAATTGATTTTTATTGAGCTCTACATTTTTCTCTGCTCCCCTCCCTGCCTCTCCCCTTCCCCTTAAGCCCTCTCTCAAGGTCCCCATGCTCCCAATTTACTCAGGAGATCTTGTCTTTTTCTACTTCCCATGTAGATTAGATCTATGTAAGTCTCTCTTAGTGTCCACATTGTTGTCTGGGTTCTCTGGGATTATTATTTGTTGGCTGGTTTTCTTTGCTTTATGTTTAAGAACCACCTATGAGTGAGTACATGTGATAATTGTCTTTCTGTGTCTGGGTTACCTCACTCAATATGATGTTTTCTAGATCCATCCATTTTCCTGCAAAATTCAAGATGTCATTATTTTTTTTCTGCTGTGTAGTACTCCATTGTGTAAAAGTACCACATTTTCCTTATCCAATCTTCGGTCGAGTGGCATTTAGGTTGTTTCTAGGTTCTGGCTATGATAAACAATGCTGCTAGGAACATAGTTGAGCACATGTCCTTGTGGCATGATTGAGCATCCTTTGGATATATACCCAAAAGTGGTATTACTGGGTCTTGAGGAAGGTTGTTTCCTAATTTTCTGAGAAATCGCCACACTGAA